GTAGTTTATTTGTAATTCTGACTATGATAAAAATTGGTTGAAATTAATAAACTCACCGAATTGACATGTTTAGTCGAGTAATTAGGAATTTTGGCTAAGTGTTCTTTACATAAGGTAATGTAATGGATTTTGCACATATCGACTCGAGGTAAAAAGAAGCACTTTCTAGGTTTCTCACTATTACATATTACAATTATTACATGGAGACTCTAATGTGTAATATAAGTACTTCACTCGGAATCCATTTGTCCCCAACAGCCACCAGCCTCTCACATGTACTGATGTACCAAAAATTGTTTTTCATTTACCAATTTCCATATCTACCCTTGGATTATTTTCACTAAATTTTCCACAAATACTATACTCTGGACACGTTCCTACAATAATTGTGGAAAAATTAGTGACAAAACTGCAACGGTAGATATGGAACGTTAAAAAATAAAACGCTTCGAATCATAACGTGCTACCAAATTCCACAAATATCATCGGCTTATTGACATAAGCCACCAAGAAAACCGACACACAAATCAAGAACATGCTCATTTATTGCAATAAATATTAATCTAAGCGTAATTATCAATAGTTAAAGTAAGTTTGTCATTGAGTTAAAGTGTCATTGTCTTTATTAAATATGATCATTTTGGAGTTCATTTCCACATAACTATGTATCTGGTCACATTACATTACATTCTTCATTTCAGTCCTTTTTTGCTTTCAACTTTTTTCTTCTTTGCCCCGGATCGTCCTGTTTGGAAATGTTCATGTTTCTATAATCTACATCCAGTTTTTAATGTAAAAAAACGCAGTAACAAAAAAACAACGTACGATTGATAATGCCAATGCCGCACACGGTGGAATCCGCATCCGATTCGTTTGGACGCGTACCTCTGTCAGAGTTGGACATGTATTTCCTGTAATCGTCCTCAGATTGGTGCTCCCTAATAGCTTCCTGAACAGGAACATATGGGTGATCTCCTAGAGGACAATTCTTCAGATGACACTCAATATTCCTCTTTCCATGATTTATCCAATCTACGGTTGCAAAATTGACGCTTTCGAATAGTTAGTGGTCGAGTTAAACCCCGAATGACATGCTCCCGAGTCGACGACCACCATTTGCCATGCAACTTGGATAATCTGCAAACCCAATATTCCATTTACCCAACGATTTAGAATTATTTCAATGATCATATACGTAGGGGATTGACTTGTATTCCCTGCTCACGGACTAGGTTTGGATGTGTGAAGGCCAACTTCTGCGACACGGGCTCTAGACGGTTTTGAATTTCAGGGAATTCAGAGTAATTCCCATATTATTTTATTCAGAAAATTTTCCAGTTGGGTCTGATGGCGAGACGGGACAACGTACGAAAATTTAGCTTCCCCCCAGAGTAAATTCACCCTAAACATAATCGCATGCATATTAAAATATACTTCACTTGTGTAATTGAAATTATTATGTGAATGCTATTACGATTTAAGAGCACTGTCCTCAATGTGCCATCCAAATGACGTTTTCCATGTGCCCAAATACCCAGCAGGGATGCCGATCCCATCGCCTCCCTCCCAGCCATCCGGCATTCCAGTCATGAGAAGAGATTCAATGTTGGTTAATTTGTACCATTCAGGATCCTTGCCATTTTCTTGGATAACCTTGAAATATAAAGGTGCCCCCGTTGGTAAAGAGTTGAAAAATTTGTCCTCCAAATCATGTTCATCAACATGATCTAGGGTCGGAGCACTAGATCGACCAAATCGATAATTAAATATAAAATGTCATGCTAATAGATATAATAATACTGTAATTGTGCTTACGCTAGTTTGATGTGCTGATCAAACTTGCTCTGCACTCAATTCACCAAAATCTTCATCTCTAATGAGGGCAAAACCCGTCCTCCTTGGAGTCGGCAGGCTCATGACCTGTCTTTTAGGCTGCACGGAAGAAAACCTTCGCTGGAGATACCAAGATTCATCTGGAATCCATCCAGGAGGATAAACGATGACTTCTGCTCCGGCTTCCTCCATCCCCATATACTCGAGGAAGTAAAACAATTTCAACCTGTCCTCAAGTTGCTGGACTGTGACATAAAAATACTGAACATGTCTCAGTTCGTCAGGGGGCGAAGGACCAAACTGCCTCCAGCGTCGAGGAATTTTCGCGTTCTGATCATATGTATATATCGCAGAACTCGTTCCATTCCTTCTGATGAGATTGACCGATCCATTCTCTAAACAGATAGTTCAACGTAATGAAAAAATTTTGACAAGTACTTGTATTCAGTCGTATTTTACTCACCTACCTGTTTCACAGCAGCACTGGCATCCCGGTCGGGTTGGTTTATCGGCAAGATTGGCATTCCAACGTTTCTGATCTTAAATAAATAATTGAGTAATCAATAATTTGTAGGAAGATTTATCAACAATACTAAAACTGGTTGTTTTGTTTTCAAACTTTACTACCTTTCTCAGATTGACACTAATCCTGGGATGAGGGATACCATTCCCCTCTTTGGGGCTGGAGGCACGACCATGAGATCAACATCTTCTTCAGCCATGTTCTCTGCCATTAGGAGGTCCGCTCGTTTCTCCTCCTTGGTTTTATATCGAGTTGATCGATGTAAATCGGGATGAAGGAGGAGTTGTTTTTTAAACCGAAATTTTTCATAGGCTGGAGCGGTCTTATCTCACAAAGTGCCAATGATTTTACGCCTCCGTTGTTCATAGTCGTAGTTTTGACGGTTTATAATTGCTGAATATCGGGGGAAGAACCCTGCTCGCAGCTTAATTTTCGGGATTTCCCTTCGAAGGATTTCTAATTCCTCGGCCGTGTAGTCATATGCAGCGGCTTTATCAATTAATTCAATAACCTTCTGCCGTTGTTCATTCTCTTCCGCATGGTGGGGGTCGTAGGCTGAATGAGGAATAACTTCGTGTTTTAATGATTTTCGGTTAATTTTTCATCTGTTTGGCACGGGTGACGAGGCCGTATGAACCGGGTTTATATTTTCTGCCACTAAAAAATGTACAAATATTTAATTATAACAAGTTGCATATTAATAATGAGCTACATTTATTCTTACCAACATTACTCTTATTTTGACTCAACATGGCTATCATTTAGTTAGACAAATTTGTTAACAATTTTACATTCCTGCTGACAAAACGGCAAATCTCTTTCTCTCTCCCTCGTGTGGTGATTTTGCTTTATGGCTAACTTGAAATGATGCAAACCTTACTTTATAAATAAATGGTCGCATGATTAACTAAAAACTTGTGTTGATTTATTTCATGTATCAATAACATCAATATTAAGTAGTAATTGAAAAGCACAAGTGAATATTTAAAAATGTAGGTAATTATTACTCTCCTTTAAAATTTGTGTGGAGGGAAAATGTCAAACACACTCCACCGGTTTTCAGAGCTGGCCATGTCCCAAGTTGGGGCCGGAAAATTTGGGGCCGTCACAACCTCTCGCTCTCTTTTCATCAGCCTAAAAACAAATATACAAATATTGAATACGATGCACGATTTTCATCTTTTACCATATGCATAAAAACCTACACAACAAGACTCGAGACAAACTGTTGCCGTCTGTAAATTGCACAGTCGTCATTATACTTGAACTTGTCAATCTTCATCAGTTGGTTTATCCAGTCTCGAGTGTCATTTATTTCCATAACATCTCTCCGATGGACTGGAATGGTGAAGGCCATCTGAGCATCGTGAGTTTTAAACGTGGATTCGGCAGTGCCTGGAATTGGCCCGAGACCGGCGATACAACCTACATAGCCATCATGGAGTCCAGGTTTTGCGCCGGGATGTTAGACGAGCCGAACTCGCGGGGCATAAACCAAATGTAGGAGGTCAAATAATCCATTCACTGAGGGCATTAACGTTGAATCCTTTGCCACCAACTTTTGCTCCCGTTGTATCAACTTTTGCTCCCGTTGTATCTGCAGAGAGACCAGAGTGTAGGACATCGGCCTGGGGGAGTGATGGTCAATCACAAATTGATTGAGTCCCGGTCAACGTCAATATCTGATGTGCATCCAGAAAACAGGGTCTTGAAATTGATGGCAGTCGACGAACGTGGTTCATTTAAGAAAACCTTCATATTTGAATCCCCCCTGTAGCAGCAATAATCAGTTAATAATCAGGTCAGTAAAGAGTAAAAAAAAAAATAAATATACTACTGAAATCATTACATTTCATGCGGTGTCCAAAAAAATTTGTGACACATTGCTTTGTGCTTAACGCCACGGAAGACATCCTTCGCAACGTTTCCTACCCATTCATCAGGTTGATTTTGATCTGGATGATACTCGACGGCCAACTTTCCTTCCTTCTGTCAGGTTATAGTTGGTTCGCTTTGCTTATCAGGGACAAAATTTAGTTGTCGGATTAATTCATTCAAGTGTTCGTCTTCCGGGGGATCACTCAAAACATGGGCTTCCAGCAGGAAAGAGGTGTTGGGGTTGGATTGCCCAATTTCTTTTTCAACAAATTTGATCATGCGCTCCTGATTAGTTGCTGGGGCTCGGTAAAATACATTTGGGTATGATGCAGAAGCAACTGAACTTGGAAAAGAATCTTATTATCTTGAACCAACTCGGATACAGTTTTCAATTTTCTATCCTCGGTCACCAGACCAAGAGCAGACTTTAGTTTCCGGTGAACTCGATCAATCGATTGTTCCAGATTCCAGACACATGTGGTTTTAACAAAGTTTTCCTTCATAACTGCAAACCATGGTTTAGTGGGATCCTTTTCGTTTAGGCAAGCCAAGTAAAGCTGGTATGCGTCGAGATTTGAAAGAGCGTCGGATAACGCAGAGCCTCCAAGTTCAATTTTCCTAATGAAAGCGTCAACTCCATTCTTTGCATAATGTCTTGAGAAAGTCGCACACAGGGACTTTGAAGAAATTGACATTGCTGTAAAAAGATTTAGTTCTAATGGAATGAAAAAAATTACAAATCAAAAACAAATACATGGCTAAAAATTTACTCATCAAAAACTATGGACTCGTTGAGCATCCCAAAAATATGCCCAAATGCAATTACTCTTGCCTGTCTGGGATCGCATGATAAGCTACTTGAAAGGTGACCAATAGTCGTTATTTCCCCGTCCGTTGCACTGTACGATCGATCCGCTTTGAGCAATGTAAGTCCTCCACACTAAATAAACATATAAATGATTGGTCGCATTTTTTTTCTGTCTTTAAATTTCATATAAACTTTACTATGTGTATACCTTCTTAAGCGATAACACAGCAGCGGAAATGTGTTTCAAGTCTGGGGGATGAATAGCTTGACTAAATAGATCCAGAGGATTTCCCAGCTTGAGCTTCTTGAGATGAAGAAACGCCAGCCCAACGCCACAAGTCTGCATCTCTGCGAACGATTCTTCTTTCATTGTTGATTCCTATAAAAATATAAGAATTATTATTACTTGTCTCGCAATGAGTAGCTAGTGTTTTAAACTTACATAAAATTCTTTGGTGACCAAGCGGAAGCAATATCCTGGTCCCATTCTACCACATCGGCCGGCCCGTTTAATGCACTGGTGGCGAGAAGCGAGGTCTGTTACGAGTCCAGAAAAAGTTGTATTTAGGTCAAACTTCATATACTTGGTTAGTCCAAAGTCGATCACTATATATAAAAATATGTAATCATTAGTATTTATTAATATTTAAGAAATACAAACGCTGCACAGGTTACCATATCTGATATCCTCAACTGTAATAGAACTTTCTGCAATATTTGTCCCCAGTATAATTTTTCTCTGGTATGAGTACTCTGTAGGCTTGAATACCGCAGATTGATCATCGTCTGACTAGTTAGAGTGCATCTCATACACTACCCAATCCTGCCGTGACTTTGACGAGTAAAAACTACAATTGAAATACAGAACGAATGTTGTATCCATGTAATTAATGATTATGACTGTTACAAAACTGTACCAAAGTTTCTCCCTAAGAGTAGAAATTTCCCCCACACCCGGAAGGAAGACAAGTACGGTTCCTCATTTTCCAGTAGGATTCTCAAGTTTCTCCAACTGTCGGATGAGAGGAGCTATTCGATCATAATTATGATTATTGACATTGTCTTTTGAAGGATCAAAATAATGAAAGCCAGATATTTGCTGCGAAAGATTTATAAGAATGGATTAAGATTTGACACATAATATCAGTCAATAATACTGTATAATATTAGTTACAATCCCTTCAGGTGTCATTTTCTCCAGATCGTCAATAAAGTAGGTTTTGATGGGTTGTAATTTTTCCGAAGCAGGAATTTCTAACTTGCCAACTACTTTATGACTGAAGTAATCCTTAAATTTGGTAATACTCATTGTTGCAGATAGCAAAATGACTTTGATTTGCCAATCCGGATCTTCAAGTTGGCGAATCTTTATTTGGAGTAATAGTTCGTCCGTTATCATGTCCCTTCCGTGGACTTCATCCAAAATTATTTGTTAAATGTGCTTTCTGCTTGGCGTGGATCAATCGCGCAATGTTCCAGTCGTCCTAAACGTAATGTTCGTATCACTGTTGCTCTGGTTGTCCATTGAAATCTAATGTGATATTGTTTATATTTTACTTCAATCTCAATATGACATTGCATAATATAATGTGACACACCAACCTGATATCCAACGACCCCTTTACCGACTTCGACCCCCAACTCAGCGGCGTCTCGTTGTACGGATTTTGTCTTCGCCACCCGTCGTGGTTGAGTTATTTCCAGTCTTACAGGCCGCACCCTATCACCCTCGTTCTCGTTCAGTTTAAACTGAGGAATCCGTGTCGTCTTCCCAGATCCCGTACTAGAATTGATGACTACAACATCGTGCCCGGAAATGAGGTCCAAAATCTTTCAAAAATAAACCCCAAATTATTCAGTATTTATATCTTATGTAACAAGTAAATTTATCGTCATATAAATTACCAGGCCCTTATACTTGTCGATTGGAACTTTCACTCTATTGGTTGCCAACATTTTCAGGCCGATTTTAAACTACCGATTAAAGTAAATCAAACTTTCAACTCTAACAAATTGTCAATAGTGCCGACAGAAATTACAACCAACCAAGTTGGTGATTTTAATTAACGAAAAAAAACGAGAATAAATAAGTATTTATTTCCCCACGACATGCTTTCCTCTAATTCATACTGCGAGGACGATGTTTTAATACTGCCGCAGTCTAATGTCAAGCTGAAAATCTATGAAAATCAATGTGCATTAATAAACAGAACTTGACGGGCACCCAAATTTCCAAAAATATTTTAATTTATTTCTCAGAATCGACTCGGGCCTACAAAAATTTTGAATTTTTTTCTTGTATAATAAATCATTGTCAATCAATCAAATTGGTGTGTGATCAAAAAAATTTAGCAAAATCTTAAATTTTAGCATGGGAAAATTATAAACCATTTTAGATCTTCAAAACCAGTCGGGGCTACAACTTTGTTCTTGTTTTATTCTACGACTCATACTTTTAAGTTGGATTTAATTTTTTTAAATAGAGACTTCGCCAATGATAAGCATGGTTATTGATTGGTAAGGCAGAACGGACGATTATTGAGAATCTCATCTCAATCCAACCCCTACTAGAAAATACCACCACCATTGGGCATAATCTGAACATGTACAATGTTTGATAAATTTTATCATGAAACATTAACCCACATATTTCAGATGCGAAGATGCGACATTGAATATACTAAAAACAACATCGATGGATGATTAGTAATCTTTTCTCAAGCTAAAAATTAAATTCTCTCAAATTGATTTTACTTTATCTGGTACAACATATGCACAACTTTGATCAATCAAATTCATGGAATTATTCAATCACGGCAGCAAATTGAACGATTAGAATTTTACACAGCTTTTTGTACTGGACGCTTCATCAGGAAATGAATTTTTCCAAGTTTTTCAAACTGGAAAAATCAAAACCTATCGGGAGCCGGGACTAATGCTGGCAATTACGATCTTATAGAGAGCAAATTTGGTCATTTCAAATTAATTTTTACTCTAGTTGAGTAATTCATTGAGTAATTCATGCATTTTTAGGTTAAAAATTTATTTATACATACATCATTTATTTAACCTTTGTACAATTTGGCTGTGGAAAATGGCATGCTTCGTATATTTATAAAGAAAAATATGTAAAAATTTATCCAGTTCCAGTTTTAAGAACGTGCTTCACATGGTCAATTCTTCAGTACTTTTTTAAGGACTTATTTAAACCCAGGTAAATATTCGTATTTGTATTTATATAAATACATACAGTTGTACCCACCCCAATTTTATGTCAGTCCAGATAAATAAATACGTACTATTTTCACTATGAAATATTTACATAAGTTTAAAAATTACCAATTTTAACCCATACTGTAGATAGATAAATCTGGGAGTTGGGATTCATAAATATGGGTTTGGAACCAGGACGAGGCGGTAATTTCCATGGTCACGTTTCCAACCCGCACTTGGCCGTCCAGCTACCAGAGGTTAGTAAAAATACTTATACTAAAATTAGGTTTACCTCATTTACATAAATTTCATCGTGTACATTTTCGACGATACGGGGTTTCAATCTATATGCCTCTCTTGAATGCGTCTATGTAAATAAATCTGCAAATTAGGTGAAAAATTGGATTCTTGTACAAATAAATTAGTACAATATTGAACACATTTGACCACAAATTTTGCAGATTTTGCACGAAATATTATCCTTCCTCTCAACCCCGGATCTCCTCCATAGTGTCACCCTCGTTTCCCGCGGATGGGAAGAGTCCGCCAGAAAACATCTTGTCTCTCGGAAACTTGTTCATCTCACCCCCACAAATATTCTGGCTTACCTCGAAGTCACCAATATCCGATTCACCCACTACAAACGTGTCCAACTCTCGGTTTTCAACTTGGAAAATCCGTCCTTGGAGGTTTCCACGTTTTTTGAAAATTTCATCCTAAACGCAACAGCTCCAATTACTGAGCTCCACTTGGACTACTTTCCGCCAGATGGAAACCAATTCATCCACTCGCACGTGCTCGCGGTGTTGAAAAATTGTCCCAGCTTGAGGTTTCTCCGTTTCTGTCCAACAAGAATGGGTGACAGGTAAGGTCCACATCCTCATTTCAACCCATTCATTTTCATACCGTCGTTCCCAATTCAACCCCTTCATCACTAGCTTTTTCCTGAGCTATTGTCAGGAAAAGGCTAGTGATGGGGTGGGGAAAATACTTTGACAGTATTTTGACCTCTGTTCTCCCAAACGTTTGGATTTTCGGGGCTATTTCAGCAAAGATGAGAATCTACACGGAAAATATCAAAATCACACGAAAATACATGTTTTATAAAGAAATTAGTCTTTGACAGATGTCAAAAACTTTATTTTTAACAAATCGTAAAAAATGTACTTTAAGGTTAATTTATTTATAAAATATATATTTTCGTATGATTTTTATATTCTCCATGTAGATTCTCATCTTTTGGTAGCAGAAATAGCCCCGAAAATCCAAGCGCTTGGGAGAGCAGAGGTCAAAATACTGTATTTTGACAAACTATTTTGCCCACCCCTGATATTTCTAACTTGTTCCGCGCTTAAGTCGAAGAAAATTAATTGTCAAGCTGATCGAAAAATATAATAATTAATTCCAGCATGTCAGAATTGGGAACAGTCGTCACCTTCCCAAAACCTGGTAATTTTCCAAAAATTATGAAACTCGGGATCGACATGAGCTCAGAACATTTAAACGAACAGAATGTTGTTCGCTCTTCTACAATTAAGCTAGAAACTATCATAAGTATCGTTGAATTATTTCCCACCTTGAAAAAAATCCAGTGTGTCAGCCTTCCAGTAAATCTGGTGGAGTATTTTCTATCCAGAAATAGTACGACCTCCATCATCCACTCAATCACGCTCAGATTACGAACATGGGAAAGTTACCCTCGCACAATTCTTTCCCTCGCAAATCCCTCCAATTGTTTGACCCGGATAGAATTTCTGATCGAAATTGGGAATCGCTCGCTAAATTACGACATAATTCTAGCCACTTTTGCAGCAAAATTGGAAAACTTGAAAGTTTCCGGGATAGATCTAACCTGGCCCAGATTCCGGGAATTTAATCCCCCCAAAGACATTACGTTCCCTGAAGTATTACCAAAATTAAGATGCCTTGAATTTGGTATTTCCAAGTATTTTTTTGGATGTGAGGAAGAAGCTCCAAAATTCCCAACATTCGAGTTGAAATTCTCGGGTGGAAATTTGATATATTCCAGACAGTTTCCAGCCCTGGAAAAATTAGTGGTTTCGAAATTCCCTGAATTGGAATCGTATTATTCTTCTAGCGAGAATATTTCTGAAAGGGAATGGTTTAAAATTTGTGTAGAATTTTTAAATAAATACTTTCTCCTTGTCGGAGACGAATGCCCAACGGTGAGGGAAGTAAGGGTTCCACTCCCACAAGGAAAAATGGTGGGGTTTATTATTTTTACGGAATTTCCGGATAAAAATTATGACAATGTTGGAATTTCTGAATATTGTATGGTAGATTGTTCCAAGTTTTTTAGCAGGCTTTTGACTACGTTTCCAAATTTGAATCCGAGGTGGGCAATGTTTGAAAAGGTTGATCCCCACGATGTCATGGAGTGGGTGCGGGTGGGAAAGGAGATGGATGGATAAATATGCAATAAATATGCAGATACTCTGTGAAGGTAACACTTATAACGCATACGTACATATGTATAACTTATAACGTATAGTTATTACAAAACAATGGATTTGTACAATTTTTTGAAATAATGCTCAGGGAGCTTAACTCTTGTTTAACAAATTGTCAAAAAAAATTTATTTCATCAACTTTAAGGTAAAACACAGTAAACCCCGAGTAACCCTATGTTTAGACTTTTAATTTAGTTTTAATTTAATTTTACTTTCGTAATAATTTCGGATTAATTTCCTGCGTTACAATTTACACTTTACACAAAAATTTTGCAGAAAATTGCCATAATTCTGCTTTCAACTGAAATTCATAAATTTTGGAAAAAGTATAAATTGAAAATAAATCAAAATTTCTGGAATTAAATGAAGCCCTTCCATTTTCGTCCCCTAATCAAAAATTATAAACAACCGAGTACTTGTGCGGATTCTACTGGTTCAACGACTTCGAAAAAGACTGGCGAGGAAGAAACGGTCTTGCTATGTGCGCCAACTGTTTCTGAGAAGAGATTCTGAAGGAGAATTACGACTCGTACAAGATTTAAGAGATGACCCTTTCTATCACTTTCGATATTTTAGGTAAAAATATTTATATATTTATATGACCTATTATTATCAAACTATGTAATTAATGATATTTAAATAGAATGAGCAAAGACAACTTTGATTTCCTCTTGGCATCCGTCACGAAAGAAATTACACATAAAAGCACCCACGCGAGGCCGATATCTCCACTGGAACGTCTCGCAATAACGATAAGGTGTGATAACTTATTTTAAACAACGGCAACGAATAATATATATTATTAACGGCACAGGTACTTAGCTTCAGGAAATTCTCAATTTTCACTCGCCATGAGTTACAGAGTCTCTCCCTCGTCCGTTTGCCTTATCATCCGAGAAACCCTTGCTGCCATCATCAAAATCTTACAAAGAAGATATTTACCAAATCCATCTCAGGAAACCTGGACAGCAAGTGAAGCTCGGTATCGATTACTTTGGAATTTTCCGCACGCCGTTGGTGCCATTGATGGCAAACATGTTCGAGTGAAACTGCCCCCAGCGTCCGGCTCATTATACTACAACTACAAGGGGTTCTACTCTATCGTGCTCTTGGCAATTTCAAATGCTGACTTCCAGTTCCAAGCAGTTGACATCGGTGCGTTCGGGTCAGAGTCAGATGCAGGTATCTTGGGGAAATCAACTATGGGACAACTTTTGGAAACCGGGCAGTTTGGAATCCCTCGACCAAAACCAGTATCAGCGATGGGGCCAACGTTACCCCACGTTATTCTTGGAGATGATGCATTTCCACTTCGAAATCACCTCATGAAGCCTTTCAAAGGAAACTTTCTGTCGCGAGAAAATAGTATATTCAATTACAGGCTATCCAGGGCGAGAATGACTGTTGAGAACAGTTTCGGAATTTTAGCGGCTAGGTGGAGAATATTTCACTCAGTGATTGAAGCAGACGTGGACCTCGCTAAATCAATTATTATGGCGTCAATTTTACTGCACAACTTTTTAACCAGTAAGAGTGACTTTAACAACATTAGCCCAGACAGGGTCGAAAATGGTGCCATTATCGAAGGATCTTGGAGACAAATGGTGCAAGGTGATCGTGGTATGGTCAATATTCCACAGCAGGGTTCCAACAACTACTCAAGAAATTCTTCGCAAGTTAGGGACGCCTTCGTGAATTATTTTATGACGGATGAAGGAAAGGTAAGATGGCAGGATGTACATGTTAGTGCCGGGCGTTAGTTATGCGGTTTTTGTTTAGATATAAAATATTATCGTATTGTTAATACTTACGTATTTCATAAACCAATCTTGTTTATTAGCACGGTAAACTTTAAATGTACATTAGCAGAAATGTAAATTAGAATAACATTGTAAAGCCAAAATAAATAAAAATATAATTTGAAATTGGTTGGTGAGAACGTCTTGTACTTATAGAATAATATCAAAGTAAATTACAAGAATTCTATTTCGGCATCATAAATTAGTTCGTGAATTTTGAACTCACACCTACTCTCTAATCGTGAATCGGATTCATGAATTCGTCGTAACTTTGATGCCACCATCTTGCCAAATATGTCGAATTGATCTTTTTTATCACCTCCATCCTTGACGAATTTTAGCATTTCTTCCTCCAACGGTTCCAGTCTTCTCTTCTGTTAGAAAATGGCCTTAAATTAATATAAAGTCACATAATTTCAAATAATATTGAGATACACACCCCAGCGAATTTGACGTGAGGTCGTGGGGCTACTTTTTCTTTCGTAGTATTAGTGCTGGAAGTGGCGGTGACACTGTTGGCGTCTACACTAAAGGAAAGAGATCCCAATACTGCATTTTCTGTAATCGGCTGACTCGGTGTCCTACCAAATCCAATATCCTCGAGTTCTTGGTCATCTTCAGGTTCCACGTTCGTCAATGTACTGTGAGTGCAAAATATTATATAAACAACTAGTTTAAAAAAACTGAGAATTTCCTTACGCCGCCTTAACACTTGTCCCGGATATGAAACTCATTGATTTATAATGTCGAAATGAGGGTCTGATCTCAGCTCCACCTCCGGAAGGCAGAGAACGATGACAAGCGAAATATTGGCTCCGCAAGTTATCCCAAATCTTCATGCACACATCAGCTGCCCACAACCAATAAACGAAATTTAACGACCAGCTCCCCACAATTGCGAATAATTTCCAAGTACCTGATTTGTTCAGTGTCTCTCCGATAGTGACAAAGGTGTTCTGCCGTTTTGATTTGTTCTTAAAATCAATGTTTTTAATGTCCCAGACATGCTTGTGGGGCTCCACGAGACGTATAACGTCGTCCTCAAATGCGAGTTTATCATCATTTGTGGTAAACTCTGATTTAATTGACGATTTCTTACCCATATCGATAAGAACTTCAATTAATTAATTTTTAATGTGAAAAAAAGTTGAAATTTTTCAACTTTGGAAAGTGAAATGAATTTGAAAGCAAAATTAAATTATTCCGAGTTTAAATTGACGAGGAAATTTTTATCGTCATGACGTGAAAATTGTGTGAAAGTGAAATGAACCCGAAAATACTATAAATTCAAATTCCATGAAAATGAAAGCAAAATAAATTTAAAATGAAATTAATAGCCTAGTATAAATTAGGTCTAAAACCCCAACCCAGTAAAACCCGGGGTCGGAGTACCCTGCCCACAACGCCCATTTTAGAACCTATGTATCTCCACCCCATACAACGCATATTAGTTAGAACTCGCACCATGTTTCTTTATTAACGTTTCTTTCGAACATTTCCCGGCACAGGGTACACTTGACAACGGGTCGGGTGGATATTCCTAAGTGTGTCCTAAACAAAATATATACGTGCCATTTATCTTCCCGTTGTACCCCAAGATTGTTATGAACAAATACAAAAGTGTATGTATGTATTTACCTAGTGCATTTTCCAGGCCTGTCCGTGTGTGAACCTTTTTGCACACGTAGTACACTTGAACGTTTTCTCGGTCGTGTGGGTGGCAATGTGCCCATGGAGATTTTTCCTCGTTTTAAATTTCTTCCCGCAAAGAGTGCTCCGTAGTCGGACCGGGTTTTAGGCAAGGTCAGGTTTCGCATGTCGCAACACACAGCCTTTTCTGTCTGTTTAAAGTGACAGGGGTGGAAAATGCCGTACCCCATGCATGTTAAAACCTGGATCTATGCAATTGGATTTTCTGGATGCAGTTTGATTCAATGAGGTAAAATATAATGTGCAGGTAGTAGTATAATGTGGATCTTACCTTGCTATGTGCGAATGTGTTGCTACCGATCTCTGAATTAGGTAAATGAACGTGTATTTGTAAGTTTGGAATAAAATCCAGTTTAAGTAGGCAAATACTATGGTACGTGTAACAAAACGAACACCTATTCTTGCTGAAATAAACTGGCCGACCACGTAATGCCTAATAACGAGAACCACTTCTTGGGTATTCTGAGGTATAGGTTAGTTGGCCGACTTTGTAATGCCTAATAACATTGAGGGTACATTTCTCGGCATGGCGATTTCAACTGACTTGATGAAATATAAAACCACGCTCCAGGCCGTGCGGTCACGGGACTTTATTCATTTTATTCGACTGGTGTGATGTGCCGTATAATTTATCTCAGATTAACACGGTGGGCTTAAATTACTACGGAAAATTAGAAACCAATCCTTCTTAAAATTATCTGGCACATGATATTATTATAAAACTGATGAAATCGCGCAGGACCACACCCAAGCAGGAGCGACCACACGGCCTGGGGTGTGGTTTCATATTTCATCAAATCAGTTGAAATCGCCTTGCCATGCTTGGAAAAATGACATGCCGCATGACTTGCTTCGGTTAAGAGAAAAACACCGAGGGCCACACCCCCAGGGGGTGTGGTTTTACATTTTTATTAGTTCCCTAGATTCGCCTTGTTGTGCTAAAAAAATGACATGCTTTCGATAAAATGAAGGAAAGCGCCATTGACCCCACCCCCAGAGTGTGTGGTTTTAAATTTCCGTAAGTCTGTCAGGATCGCCTTGTTGGGCTGAGTAACATGACATGCCTTCATTGAAATAGAGAAATGCGCCGTGGGTCACAAACCCAGGGGGTGTGGTTTTAACTTCCATTAGGGCTAGCTCTGCTGAGAAAAATGATATGTCATATGACATGCTTTGACGAACCTGAAAGAAAGCGCTGGGGACGGCACCCTCTGGGGGTGTGGCATGAGACCTATTTATTTTTTTCAGATGGCCTGGGTGTCGACATATATTTCGACATAATGTTGAATTTTTGTGTTTAAATATGGGTGCATAATTTAATTATATTTTTCACGTTGTTCGACCTTGTGACCTTAATATCTAGGGGGTGTGGTCAAATTTCAAAAATCTGGGAATGTATATTTCGCCCAAGGGTTCAAGGTCTTCAAAACATTTGGAATTTTTAAAAACGTTCAACATTTGAAAAAGTAATGGAAGTTTGTACCCTCAATGTTATTAGGCATTACAAAGTCGGCCAACTAACCTATGCCTCAGAATACCCAAGAATTGGTTCTCGTTTTGTTACACGTACCATAGTGAAGTACGACGTTCTCTCTTCTCATTTAAACCCAGAGCAAGGCACAATTAAATGTTCGTAAGGACACTAAAGTCGGGTAGGGATTAGAATGGTTTTTACGTTAGCGCTCGCCTAAACGTGAGTGAAATTGCTGATTGGACGAATCTGGCGCCACGCCACGGCGCAAAATATGATTTTTACCCGTAGTTATGAGTGGATCCTTCATCTAGGGCCCACTCGTTTCTAAAAAATATGGTGCTTACTCTTAACCCGATACATAGTAGGGAACCATTCCTTGCAAGAGAAATATTACATACACCTCTCCTTCGTTTTCTTTACATAAACACGCAATCACTTTTATAAAATTGTTTTTATCCATTTGTCAGATAAATATGAACCCAATGGAAGACCAAATTAATATTCTTTTATTCCATCAAATAAGACACATGGATAATATTGATTTGGTAGTACTTAATCCATATTAATCGAGGGGTGTTCCATAAGGATTTAGAAAAGGTATGTAGGGCAAAGTTTTAAAGCATAATTTTGCATCCGATTTAAGTTCTAACATATTTTGGAAGCGCTGATTTTTTCAGCTCGATCGGTGAAAAATTGACTTCACAGTCAATCAGCAAAGTTAAAAAACAGACACAAAATGTTAAATATACCGGCCTTATTTTTGTTTTCAGGCTGCAGTGGTAATTTTTGCAACAAGTTTATTACGATAGGCTTAACAGGGACAGCCAGTAGTACTTTGCAAAAACTGCTATACATAATTGTATGCAATGAAAAATTCCAAGGTTACTACCTGGCGAAAGGTAAAGTTTAAAACTCGACTAAAATTTGATGCTCATCATTTTCCAATATTTCATAGGATCCCTAGATTTCAAGGTTAGGCCAAAAAATAGTACAACAAGATGGTGTATAATTTGTAAAAAAACTTCGAAAGGACTACGGGTTCTGATTGAACAGAAACGTTTGACACAAAAAGAGTTGGGTGAATCTTTATAAGAAAAAAATCCTCTCCCATACCTCCCCCATAGAGATCACTGCAAATTGAAAAGTCTTCAAATTTAGAGACTATATTCCGTATATCACCGCATGGAGTGTTATTTGTCACAAAAACTTAGAAACAGAATCAGCGTGTCAAAGTTTAACAGATAAAATGAAAGAGAATCGAGGTTTGTCGTAATTATTCGAAATATTATTGGCCGATTTCTTGTAAAGTCTATTTTCCACATATGTATCGAGCTAAAAAACCAGAGCTTAAATACGTTAAAACTTTATTGGAATACAAAAATTTTACTACAAAACTTTGCCCTTCATACATTTTCCAAGTTCTTAAGGAACACCTCTCGTACATATGTACATATGTACACTATGTTTGGTTAGTCGGACTTTCTTATGTTTGGTATTATGATACTTTAAAGTAAAAATCCCCGCTAGGGTAAAACTTACATACTGCTTGGATTCAAGTGACTCAGTTAATTCCAAGAAACCTTTAAATTTTTTCTCAACATATTTATATGTATCCAAAACCAAAAAAAGTGACCGGGTTAGGATAAGGTTTGAACTAATCTTGTCACCTTTAGGATTACAACTTCAGCGCTAACAAGTGTCCACAAATTTATTTATTTTTATTACATTTTGATTTAAAACTACTCCATGCTGCACAACTGTCGTCCAAAATCTTTATAACATGTCGAAATTAAGTTTTCCTCACGTGTTATCAATTCTCTTACTTTTATATTTTAATCTACAATCTCAATCAACTAAACTGTCATTTGGTGTCGTCGGAATCTTTCCCGTTTTTGACATCCTCCTCCACAAACTTGTACCATGTCAAATTTTAGTAATAAGCAATGGATCAAATCACGACGTTGATTGGAGTAATGTCCAACCAACAAAAATCATTAAGGGTACGAAATTTGGATGGGGCGGCGATTTTTCGGACATGTTCAAATCACGACGTAACATGCATTGCGAATTTCTTATTTATCTTTCAAATCTAGATGCTAAACAGCCAGACTTGTTCCACGACATGCCATTAAATGCTCATGGGTGGCGTCAAGTGTTTTGGGCCCTGGATAGTTTTCGTAGTTATAAATATGTTTTTCTTAATAAACATCCTGTCAAGACGATTGTAACAACTCAATTCAGTAAAGGTGTATCTTGTAACGAATATTCCATGACGGAGAAAAATTTCGATCTTGCCGTCGTGACTATTTATCTAGACGCTAAAGAAATTAAAATATGTGATTGTTTGTACTGTCGGCAGGAAGAGAGTGGTCAATTGAGCACCAGCGTATTTGACGCTGTTCTTAACATGCGAACCTCACCATGTAAGTGGTGCTATAAAACCCTAAACGACGGGGAACTAGTTACCGGAAAAGCACGGCAAGGTCAATCTGACATTACATTCAAGGAGTATAATGCTAAAAAAAATTTTCTAGAAATGATATTTCTGACTGTAAATTATACCTTAATTTTTGACTGGCATTGTGGAGATCAACCACAGGTATGGTTTGGACCCAAAACGATTTATGGTGATAAAGAAGTATCTGTAATTACTGAGCATAACGGATACCAATATTTATCTTGTTATCGGGCTGAGTTCTTGACTTTTAAATGGTACATTACACCTTTCCAGCCAATGTTATGGATCACTTTGTGCATCGCAGTGATAGCCATAATCGTATTAATCACAAGCTACCAATACTTCTCCGATCTCAGAAATATCTCATTTTCTGTGTGGCTCTTTATCGTGGCCACAATTTTTGAGGAAAGTGGTTATCTCCCTGGAAAAATTGAACAAAGACCTTTCACCCGTCTCACTTT